GCCAGCCAGGCCCCGGCGTGTTCCCAGTCCTGAGTGGGAGATTGGCCGCTGGGACCTTGTTTGCACGGGCACTTGGGTAAAGGTGTAGATTATAGACTGTCCCTCAATTGTTTTTGAATTCCCGAATAATCCCCCAAATCAGAAGGTGACCTGAATAAAAATTTGTAAAATTCATTTTGATGCTTTATCAACTGTCAACTCAATGAGGCTTTCACTCAGACACTTTGAAAGCAAAGGATTAGAAAGTACTTCACTTGTACAGGGTTTGTTATCTTGTCAGCTGAATTTCTGGGACATCTACAGGAGAGGCCTCGCCTGGACTTATCAAGGGACTGTCACTTACCCACAACTCTCTGTCACTCAGCGGCACCTTGTTTAACCTTATATGTCCTGAGGAGGCTGGGAACACTGAAATGTTAATTTCATTGATTTTGCCAACAACATTTTCCGGTAAAAGGCGTTGGTCGCACTGTTATTTTAAACGAGTTTTCTTCAAACCCTGGTCACAGATTCAGCTCACCGTTTATGGCCAGTGTCCTCCAGAGCCTGACACTCCTCATCCAGCCAGCGAAACAAAGGGGACTTATTTCCTGTCAGCAAACGTCAGATTCACTTTTTCAATTCAAAGGAAAGTGTTAACATGTTTCTTGGGGATATTAAAAAAAACACAAAAAACCCTGAGAAATAAAATCATAGAACACACCTGATAAATGACTGAAGACAGGAAAGATTCAAAACGTGCAGATTTGATATCATTAATTGACCCACTTCCTAACATGCTGTTAAAAGAAAACGAGTTTCTGTGCCGCTGACCTCACTTGGCACCAACAGTGACCTGGGTGGGTCAGCATCCAGGCTGTGTGCTGAGGAGGCCGGGATGGGGTCTGGACCGATGCGTGTGCTGAACGTGGCTCCCAGGCGCCAGAGGTACAGCAGGACTTGAGTGTAACTATCATCTTACAAGACCTTCCTTCATTTATTCTGCTCAGCACCATGATCAAAGTTGCCTCTGTGTTTACTGGGAAAGGAAGGTACATGTTGCTAAGACCAACCAGCCTGGTGGCTGGCACACTGCAGTGTGTTTGCAGGATTATCTAAGAATGTCGAATCCATCTACAGAGTTAGAAATGAGTAGACAGGCTGGTAAGCGATCTGAAGCATGAAATTAAATCAGTCAGCTGACGTGGAGGGCAGGTACCTGGGAGGCTCTTCATGTTCACGAGACACTCAGTACTCACGAGGTCAGGAATTATCACCAGTTCTTGACTGATTTCTGCCAGAGACAAACAGACAAAAGGCTAAATGCATTTAATCTAGTCGAGTGAGTCAAATTCTTAATGGCGTTGGTTATAACATCTTACTAGTTTCCTCATTAGCTAGGATATTAAATAAAATCTTTGACAATGTTCATTATAAAAGTAACGGATGTTTATATTTCTGCCCCAATAAGACTTTGTCCATCTAAATCTACTCTCCTATCCTATGGTGCCATCACCCCAGCCTTTGTCACACTGTCACCCAAACCTTAAATTCTGGCTTATTAAGGGTATGTGTTCTCTTTCACTTTGATCTTAGCTTTTTAAAAACCACCACAAAGGTACCAACATATGGATCATTTCTGCTTCAAACCTCTCATAAGATTTCTAGAATGTGTTTCTCCATCGAAGCATCTCATCAAAACTGCTTCAATGTAGGTGGTGTGGCCACGCTCTGAGCCTATGAGTGTGGTTATTAGTTCAGTGCATATAACAAGTGTCTGCAGCTTGGCGGGCTTGTGCCAAGTGACGGGGAACAGCCGCGGACAAACCAATGTCTCTGACCCCACAGAGTTTACATTTTGTGGGGGACAAATTAACATTGCAAGCTGTGTTGGGAGTGACCAGTGTAGGAAGAAAACCCACACAGGGTGAGCGACAGCAGGAGCTGGCTGAAGTCTAGGTACCTACCACTTCCACGGGAACGCGTTTCAAATAATGCTCTGAGGAAGTAAATGGTTGCAATTTTAAAACCGTCCTGATAGTTCCCTTATTTTCTTTGAAGTGGAAAAGTTACATTTTACAGCATTAAAAATTTGTTTTCTGTGTGCATTACCTGCTTTTGTGTAAAAGAAAAATACCATGAGCACAGCACATAAAACAGGTATTTTAGAAGTCTCTGCTCGCAGTTCTGAGCACATAATTGTACACCTGAAGCTGAATAATACTTAATGCCAACTATAATTTTATATATATATATATATATATATATATATATATATATATGGTCACAGGATGTGGAGTACAGCATAGGGAAGAGTCAGTGGAATTGTAACAACTATGTATGATGTCAGAGGGGCACAGATTGGGGGAGGGGGGCTATCACTTTGTGAGGGGTGTAAATGTCTAACTATTATGTTGCTTTGTACACCTGAAACTAAAAAAGAAAAAGTCTGTGCTCAGACTTTTCAAATTCCTTATGAAAAATTTTAAAATAGAAGTAGAGAGAGGAGTGCGCAGCTCCAAAGGTTGCCTGGGTCCGGCCGAGGCTGTTCCTTCCATGCTTTCTCCTCCAGTCACAGAGTCGCTTTTCTTTCTTCTGAGGGAGTCCCGGACACGTCACCTGACTCGCACGGCTTTGTGTGCAGGTAACAGTGCTGGTGAGCAGGCACCCTCTTAGCCAGATCTCAGCATTTGTGCCGCCAGCATCCACATATTTGGGTATTTCTCTTATTCCCTTTTTCCATCTGGCCTTCTGACTGTAAATTCATTCTATCATTCAGCTCATCTGCTGTGCTCACTATTTCAAGTTCTGCTTGGTTCTCTTGTTTTCTTATCTTTTTTAGAATGTTAAGTTCAATGTAAATTCTTGGACTGCCTGTTCTAAAATATCACATTATGCCAGAATTGCTAATATTACGATTTTTATTCAAATAATTATACTCTTCAAATACCTTACTGCTCCTTATGAGGCCATTCTCCCCAGGGAACTGGCTGCTTGCTCAGGTGGTGGGGATGGGGGAGGCCAGACCTCTGTGCCCAGGGGCCCAGAAAGCCCGCCCGGTGGGAGTACCTGCTGGGTCCTAGGCGCACCTCCCCCACATATGCCAATGTCTGTGCACATAAGCTTGGCGATGTCAGGATGACAGGATGTGCACGCGCTGTAAGTGACATTGAAATAGCACGCTACCATCACCCCCACGGCCAGCTGGTTCTCAGGCTTTGCGACAGCCCTGCTGGACGCTGGCCTCCAGGCAGCACGGGGCCGGCACTGGTGGCTGGACCAGTGTGGCTCTGACAAGGATGCTGGTGCACGTTTCACTCTGAGTCAGAAAACCATGAAGGAAGCCACAGGTTGCCTGTTAAGAGCCTGGCTGGGTCCTCGGCGGCTCCTTTGCTCTCGTGGGTGATAGTTTGCAGACGTCGCAGGAAGGTGCTCAAGCTTTTGCGCCATTCACGATGTCACAGGTACATTTTAGGTGTGATGTGCATTTTCTGTGCCACCTTCTTAGGTGGAGAGACAATCACAGCCACAGATGATGCCCTAGCGGGTGTCTGCGGTGCCCGCTGGGTCCCATCTGCCGACAAGGGCCCGTGCTGACGGCAGGAGGCGCCTGGCACCGCGTGGCGCGTGCACGGGGGGCACAGATGGCAGGACGGCAGGTGCTCTGGACCTTCGCTTTCGGGTAGCTGAGCGTGCGTTGGGACGACGTGATTTTAAACGCCCCCCGCGTTCCAGGAGCCCTGCGAGGCTGGACCAGTGCCCTAGGGGCCCGCCTTTATTGAGTAGTTTACTGATAATTATTACATATTAAACCTTAATGTGTAATTTCACATTTGATGAAACATTATTGAAGAATTGCTCCTGCAGAGTCTATTAGCCTCCAAGTCTCCCCAGCCAGGCCGGCCCCACCCCTCATTCCTGGCGTCTTTCTTCCTGGAACCGGAGTGGCCGGGCCGGCGGAGTCTGTGGGCTCAGCGGCCGCTGGGGCACCACGCTCTCCCTCCCGGGGCACCGCGTCTTGACGCCCACACGATGCCACAGGTAGCCACCAAGGGGACTTGGACTGAACTTGTTGCCCCGTCTTTTCTCTGAAATTTACTTTTTGTTGTTGATGCAACGTGTTTTCATTTTAATGTTACTTTCGTTGTGGGAAAACAAATATTTAAAAACTGATGCAAAAGAGAGCAAATTATTTGCCTATAACAGTACTTTTTATTTGTATGGGGCTTTTGACTTTTCAAAACATCTTGTTTTTTAATTAATCGTATAAACTTTAGACAAAGAGTTAAGTTCTTAAAAAAGGAAAATAAACACCGCCCCCAAGCCCATCATTCACACACCATGACCAGACTCGGCCCCTCCCGACTGCCCCGCGTGCTTGCACACTTACCTGAAGCTTCCGTACCTCTTCAGAACCATGACAGAAACACTGCCTCGCAGCCAGTTTTCCACTTGATTTGCTATGAATGTCCTTCCGAAATGTTAGGCCTAAACAACACAGTCATTCTACCAAGTCACTTGGCAGCTACTCGGTTTCATGGGATCCAAGCGCCCCGCCCACCTGGGCCTCGCAGGTCCCAAGCACCCGGCCTGTCTGGTCCGAGGCTGACCGCTGTTGCTAAGTTCTTTCTGTGTCCTCCCCCACTTGTCCCCGCCCCCTGCCTCCATCCCCATGGTCCTCACGTGCCCCACAAGTAACCTGGGCTGGCTCATGTCATCGTCCCTTTATGGATGGGGACGCCAGCAGGGGCAGCTCTGACTGTCCTCTGCACACCTTACATGTGGCAGCTGCCAACGTGCTCAGGAAGACCGTGAAGAAGCCAAGAATCAGAGAAGGAGGGGACCCAGAAAGCCTGTCCCCAAAGGGCAGGTGCTGCGCAGAGCTGAGGAGACCAGACAGTGGCTGCAGCTGAGCTGGGACTTACCCTCGGGGCTCCAGGTGACACTCAGGACTGACCCGCCCTGGCCTGCCAGCGCGCCAAGAACAGAAGGGATGAGAAAGCAGAGCAACGCGCAGCAGCTGTGTAGTGAAACGTTTGGTTTTTATTGAGAACATTGCAAATCCTTTGTCTATGTGACGGCGTCTCATGCTGGGTCCCGCTGGTCTGGCGCACAGGAGCTCATGCGGGTGGTGACGTGTGGTATGTACATCAATACACAGACGAGAACACTGAGGAGTGAGTACATCTTAGCGATGGGTTTCGTGGATGAATTACATTCATATAGTGTCCAAATTCTAGAGTCAAATTGAAAGCAAACAATCTCAAGCCTGGAGCAGCCAGCAGCTTTCAGGGTCACTCCAGGAACATTCCAGACTGTGCCTTTAACCATGTCATGGTCATGTCCAGGAGGACAGCCCTCCGTTGTTCACGCACCACCAGCCCACGCTGGGGTCCAAACAGGTGTTCTTGGAGCTGGTGGCTCACCCCTCCAAACAGCAGATGGGGAGGTCCAGCCGGCAGTGTCAGGAACAGGATGCGGAGTCACCACCAAGTCAGGCCCTGTCCCCTCCGGGCTGTCCCGTCGCCCGGCCACAGCACCTGGACACAGAACCCTGCGTGCTGCGGCCAGCCTCAGGCCAGGGAGACACGGCCAGAGGCCCTGCCAGGGACAAGGACACACAAGCTTACAATGCTCTGCCCTCCCATTTAGACAGTTGGGGCGATAAATCTTTTTGGAGATTCTGACTTCACAAAATTTAGACCTGGGAAGGACAGCTCATTTTTTCTCTTGCTGGATTAAATTTATGATTGGGGCAGACCTTATGTTTTGGTGTAAATATATTAGAAATGAAGAGAGCCTTGTGCTATATTTTGTTGTTTTGAGAAAAGGGGGGCATAGCCTCCCCACCACCCCTACTTGCCCACTGTCAGGCCTGCGCCAAGATGGGCGTGGCCTCCCCAGGGGTCACTGTACACGCAGCAGTCCTTACAAAGTGGCTCTACAGTCTGGAGATCGATGACATTATTTGAATAAAAATAAATCCCAGAGAAATCAATGCATGTGACATGTTGACTGGCCCATTTTAAAATGTTTTTGATTATAGTAACAAAAACCCTCCAAAACAGGAAAAGATGGTAACGTAAACCAGGACCCAGAATCGAAGCTACAGTTCTTTGGCGTCCCTGGCCTGAGAGGCGGCGACAGTTGACCCTGAGCAGGCGATTAGGGCAGAGGAGGTGGTTAGGGTGCCCTGCAGACACTGGCTCACGTCACAGAACGTCACACACCCTGCCGCCCAGAGTCCGCATTTCCACTCGACCTTCCCGTCCCCAGTGCAGCAGGGCTGGAGGCCAACCAGCGTCTCTGGAGCTAATGCTTAGGTTTAGCCAACAGAACACAAACCCTCCCCACCCGCCCTGGTCAGAAGTACTCAAAATGTAAAATTTTTCTAAAAAACCCAAGTCCTTGGTTGTGTCAACTTTTCCATTAAGTCTCTCAAGTCCAGACTGAGGACGCTGAGTGCAGATCAGGGTGCAGATCGGCGCCCCAAGGCCAGCTGCGTCCCCTGCGCAGTGAACGTGAGAAGCGATGGTTTACTTTCCTGACTGGCTCAGGGAGTTCATCACGCCGCCCTTCCCTCCAGCGCGCAGGGCAGCTGTCCGGCTTGCCCCAGGAGCAGGGCGGGAGGCCCGACTGGCACACGGGGCCCCGCCCCCGGGGCTGCCCCCCTCCCCCGCCTCCTGCCCTCCTCCCGGTCCCAGGGCAGCGCCTGGGGGCTGAGCCCTGCACGGGGCCTGTCCTGGCCTGATGCACAGACCCAGCCGCCTGGAAAGGGGTGCACAGGGACCCCTCCCAGGGAGGTGGGGAGGGAGACTCACTCACGGGGCTTCAGCCAGTACCGCGCCGGGGTGCGTGTCTACGGAATGTATTTCCACTGGGTTTTGTCATCAAAACCCACATATTTTTTTCAAAAACTAAGTCCATCTCCCAATCCCCACTAGAAAAAATACCATTTATGGAGAGAATACAAATGCTGGGCCTCCCAGTACATTCTTCTGGGTGTGCCGGCTGCTCTGGGGAGGGCGGCACCGCCAGCACCTTTCCTGTTCCGCGGAAACAAAAGGAAACAAAACCCCCCGCTGTTCGCCAGACCACACCCGCGGAGGGGAGGCCTGGGGCACCCTGCCAGGAGGGGGAAGGCGGGTGTGGGCTACGCCTGTCCCCCAACCAGGTCGGTCCCCACCACCCCAGACGCGCTCCCTGCACATGACCATCAGAGGCTGTGTCTCAATCTGCCGCCAGGAGCGCACGGGGTCTGGCCCAAATGACAGTGGTCGCTCTGTTCTGTCCCGCATTTCCTGAGACCGTAAAGGGCACAGGACACTGGGTACGCAGGTGCCAACACCCTAGACTTTGCTCTGGAGTGGGGTCTGCCCCGTCTCTGTCTGTGACACCCACGGGCCCTACAGAACCACGAATGGGCACCACCGGCCGGGGGCAGGGCGCACTTCCTACGTGCGTCCCGCTCCGAGCCTGAGTGGAAGCGAGAAGGCAGCTGGCCCGGGTCCAAGTGCAGGGCGGGGGCACCCAGCCCTCCTGGCTTAGCCCGCCCTGGGCAGTCCTGTCCGCCCCGGGGTCCCCCAGACGCCAGCAGCGCCCCGTTCCCTGCCGTGACCACGTAGCGGAGGCCCGCTGTGTTGTCAGCCTTCAGCCTGAGCACTTATCTTTCAAACACGCCTGATAACGCTGGATACAATAATTTAAAATGTGCCTTCAGTGGTATTTTCCAAAATGAGTATCTGCGCACTTAATTCTATTTCCGTCCCACGGAGACTCGTGCGCGGCGCTCACCGCAGTCAAGCTCGGTGGGCGCACAAGAGTTAAGTTGTTTATGGCCCGATGGACTCCTAGTCCCCAAAGGTTAAATGCTGTTTAAAATCCCCAGTGAATGGCCTCGGTGATGTCTAATTACTTAGAAGTAAACCCAGGAAAGTTTTCCACGCCACGATCCTGCGAGGAGCACATAAGCTTCTCCGCGGCAGGCCGGGGGACCTAGTGGGGGCGCTGAGCAGGCGCGCATGGACACAGGGACGTGTCTTTAGGTCACTACTTGCTACTGCTATCTTATCACCTCCTCTGTCTAGAAATGCTTTTATTACTATTAAAATAATGTGGCATAAGAGTGACTGGACATAGTTACTTATTTTATAAACCACATTCCTAGCTCTGAATAATTTATTTATTCAAGAATTCCAAACAAAGTAATGTCTATTTTCCTAAGCTTAAGGAAGCCCTGCTCAGTAGAACTCAATTTCTAACGTAAACTGAGATTGAAAGCGGTACTTGGTCGCTGTAAGGGGGGGGGGTGCTGCAAGATGCCAGCGGGCAGCCCCGCAACCCAACACTCTCACACCAGCCCCAGTCCAGCTGTGAGGCTCTGGGCCCAGCGCTGACTCCGGCCCCAGGTCCCACGCGTGGTCAGGGTGTGAGAGAGAACTGGTCCTGCTCCGTGGGCTTCTCCACCCAGGCGCCCAGCCCCGCCTTCAGGAACGCCCGGAACAGACAGGCCTTGGCGGCCTGGTACTCCCTGGCCACCAGCTTGGACTCGTGGTACATGCTGGGCTTGGCGATCTTGGAGCGCATCAGGTTGGAAGGAACCTGCGTAGAGACAGAGCGAGCACAGCCGTTGAGGCAGTGACAGGAACGCATGCACTCGGCAGGACGTTCAAAGATGGACTCGAGTCCTGTCCTGCCCCTGGGGGCGCCATCCCCGGGGGGGAGGGGAGGCTGTCCTCCCATGGCACAGAGCCTGGACCCCCCTCCGTGGGGCTGAGCTGCCACCGGATAAACAGGCAGCGCTCTGGCGACCCACGGCCACCTGACTGAAAGGCCCACATAACACGTAGCTACTGAGGAACCACACCCCTGGTGTCACTGGACGGCTGCCTCCTGGGCTGGCTACCTCACTTCTGCGAGCGTCCTGCAGCTTGTCTGCTCCTCCTCCGCCACGTTCAACACCAGCTTCATAAGAATCAAATGCTACACACTTGACTCATAAATAAACAGGAACTGGTGATAGACTGATTTACTACGTGAGGGTGTTTTTGAGAAAAGGGCGCTGCTGCTGCCAGTGCCAGAAGGTTTAAGACCCTCCCTGGCAGATGTACCTGAGCCCAGCACTGCTGCCGTCTGAGGTGCTGGAAGGCTCCCAGCAGGAGGGCAGGCGAGGCCTGGGAGGACAGAGCTGCCTCGGCTAAGCTGCTTTAAGTTGGAGGAGCCAGCACCAGCCTTTCAGCTGAACACCGTCAGCAGGAATGGAAGGTTCTAGAGGGGTCTGGAGGACTTGGCGGGGCTCTGGCGGGGTGGTAGGGTGAAGACAGACAGCGGTGGGGGGGGCGGGCGCTGCCGCGGGGACCCCTCAGTACCTTGCCGTGCACACGCATCCAGCGACAGTACAACGCGTGCTTACACAGGCGCGACGCTCGGCCTAGCTCGTCCTTGCCGGTTGTGGCGTTGATGACCTCGATGGCCGCGTCGCCCACCGTCCAGTTGACGCTGAAGTTGGGCGCCTTCCCAGGTTGTCGCGCTTCCGCATTGCTGATGCCTGGAAGGGACAGACAGAGCGAGGTGACACGGAGCCCACAGGCCAGGCGTGCCCCCTCCTGCGGCCGGGAGGCGGGCAGAAGGCCCACGGAAGCCCAAACCGTGCGACTTCACGGCGCTCCTGAGCTCGCTCAGGTGACACAGCTGGGAAGCTGGCGGCCTGTGCACAGAGGGCGGCCACTCCTGTGTCAGCTCAGGGCCTCAGTCACGCTGGGGGTGCTCCTCGGTGCATCACAGCCAGCTTGGGGCTTGGGCCCGCACACTGGGGCCGCCCCGCACAGCTACAGCCACACACAAGACCCGACTGGTCAACAAGGGCGCATGTGCGTCGTCTGACCACATCCCAACAACTTCTGGGACCGAGCGCCGGGTTCTTGGGTTTTCACCCCCACGGTCGTGGTCCCTTCTGGCGTGTGTAGGTCAGACTGAGTAGGCCGGGGGTCTGACTCCCTGCTGAGCCTCGGTCTTTCCTTCCCCCCTCTGCAGCCAACGCTGAGTTTTGTGTCCTGCAGTCAGTCACCCGTCCAGTCAGTGAGCCTGGGTTCACGCACTCCTGACGGTGACCATGTGATGTACTGCAGGGCTGAGCGGTGACAGACTTGAGGGAAAACGAGTTCATGCGCCATCAAGTGTAAGTCACGGAAATGAGGCCCCTGCCAACTTCAGATAGAGTCTGTCCCACCCACTGCTCAGTCACACTAAGATCCATCAGGGGGCCCCAGTGACCCAGAACCAGCATGCTGTGCACAGAGATATGACAGGGGCTGGCTCCCAAGGTAACAGGGCTCAGATGTCCCACGACCTGCTGTCTGCCAGCCCGAGGCCTGGGAGCCAGTGGTGTGAGTCCCAGCCCAGCCAGGCAGGAAAAGGGCTGAAGTCGTGTCCACTTGGTTCTACTGAGGCCTCAGGATGAAAGTGGGGTGTACCGAGCCCATCCATCAAATGCTACGTCACCTGGAAACAACCC